CGACAAACCGCACCAAACCAACGTGTCGCACAGACACCGCAAACTTTTATGTTTTCAAACCATAATATAATGACAACGGTTGGTGAAATAGAGAGGAAGAAGGAAAAACGCAAGGAAAATAAGAACAAGAACAAGAAGAACAACAAGACAAATAACAAGAACATGAAGAAGAACATTAAGAAGAACGAGAAGAGCAAGATGAACAGGAAGAACAAGAAAAACAGGGGGGCCGAGAAGAACAAGCAGGACATGAAGGAGTGGAGCAAAACAATAACAAGATTAAAGCGAACAGGTTAAATGTTTTCAGTGGCCCTGCAGCGTTGGCACATAAATATGCTGCATAGACCTCTCATATCCATCTCGTACGACAACAAGCACTGTCTATTTGCCTATTTATTGCTTTAGTCTTGTTTAGGGTTTAGGGTTTAGAGTTGAGGGTTTTAGGGTTTAGGGTGCTTCTTTGTTCCTGTACTTTTTTCGTAAGCTAGTTTATGTAATTGTGTTTGTCTACTTCCTTGTTTGTTTGTTTGCGCGTGCAGTGTGTGCGTGTTCATGTTTTTTGTGCGTGTTTGTTTGTTTGCTTGCTTGCTTGTTGTTCGATTCGTTTATTTGTCTACTTGTTTGTCTATGCATTTGTTTGTTCATTTGTTTGCTCGTTTGTCTATTGTTTCTGCTCTAACCGGATCCATAGCCTCTTCCTTTTCTCACGTCTGTTTATATGCACCACTTCTTTTTCCTTTTCTGTTGACAGAAATTAAACTAACCGTCAATCCACTGTTATTTCTTTTCCCCTTTCCACCTACAACAATGCCACTAGTCATCAGTTGATACATCATTCTTTACTATTTCTACCTGTAGTATTAAAACTAATTGTAGATCCATCATCAANCATCAGTTGATACATCATTCTTTACTATTTCTACCTGTAGTATTAAAACTAATTGTAGATCCATCATCAACTCTTTATGGTTTCTACTTATCATAAAACGAAGCATACAGCCTTACATCTTCGTTTGTGATTTCTTTGCTGCCGACGACGTATGAGGCGTCAGTATTGGGTATACGGACGGTGTATACCAGTTGTCTCGATGTATGTTTCCTTTTTGGTTTTCCCTTCTTTCCTTCTCCTTTTTTTTCATCTTCTCCTTCGTGCTGTTGTGGTTGTTCTTCTTCAACCGGACAGCCAATGGGATTTACTAGGACTGCTCCTAGAGGTTGATAACGAGGATCTAGTGAAAATGCTGCTCCTACACTAGCTAAGAAATCGCCTTCTCTTCTTTGCTGCCTCTTATGCTGCAACCTCTCACGTTGTGCAGCACTAAGGCCAGTAGAAGGACCCTCATCCCCAGAATCTGAAGGAAGCGTATCTTCCTCTCCTTGTTCTCCGGGACTCTGTTCGTCTGTTAGTAATTCCACCCATCTAGCGCAGTCGAACTCTTCATATATTCCTACATCCCAATAATCTTGCGCTAAAGCATCATCAACGTACTGCAATATGTGCTGTCGCAGTATCTCCGCCGTATCTTCTTCTTCTTCTCTTGCTGTTGGAGATGCTTCTGCTGTTGGTGGTGGTGGCGCTGCTGCTGTTGGTGCCGCTCCTGTTGTTGTTGGTGGTGCTGCTGCTGTTGGTGGTGCAGTTGCTTTTGGTGCAGCAGCTGCTGGCACCGCTTCTGCTGTTCGTGGTGGTGCTGCCGCCGTTGGCTGGGCTGCTGCTGCTTCCGGCGCTGCTGCAGCATGAGCTCCGGCAACAAAAGGACTTAAGGGGGAAACAGTCCCTTCCTGCTCCTCCCTTAACTCCTCTTGCCTTGTCTTCTTCGCTGCCGGCACATAATCCTCATCACTGCCACGAGAATTGCCTTTTTCTCCTCCTTCTTCATCCCCTTCTCCTTCTTCGTCACCTTCGTCATCGTCCCACGAGATAAAATCTGGATCTCGT